TTTATGAAAATATTAATTTAAATTGTGTATGTTGAAATTAAAAATTTATGTTTGTAAATGTGTTCAATCTTACATGTTCATTTCTGTTTTCTAGTTGTAGATAATTTTTATATTTTTGCATTTTTTTTTCAAATCTAATAAAAGACCAGTAATATCTTAATTTATTATTAATAATTTACTAAATAACAAACTATTGAAATATAAAATAGGAATTTGTCTAGATTGTGTACGTGGGAAACAAGAACCATTATTCTGTTTTTGTCTTTTAATGAATTTTTTCTACAGCATTCTACAATGTCAAATGGTATAAAAATTAGAAGATTAGGCTAGATTCTGCACTATTCTGCAAATAAGCTAACACCAGTTAGGGCATCTCCCACCCCATTCCATTTTTCACTTTAAAATAGAGTTTAGAGTAAAATTTTCTCTAATCTTATTCCATTTCCAACTCCAAAATAGAGTAAAAATGAATTTACTCCAAATATAAAGTAATCCTATTTTTCATTCTATTTTTTTGTTCTTCACTCCATATTCTACTCCAAAATGGAGTAGGATTGGGATAAAACTCAACTTTATTTTAGAGTTACTCTATTTTGGAGTAAAAAATAGAATACTCTTACACTCTAGATCTTGCCATATAATAGATTCCATTATATTAAAAATTAATATCTGAAATAAAAGGAGTATTCCTTTCGGGTTGCACATTGCCGATGCATTTTCTTTTATTAATTTGGGTGCATTTTATTGTCCATATACATTCAGGGATCCAGTGTATTGGATATGGGGGCACGTGCACCCACTGAAATATTAAAAATATTTTAAATCCGTCCCTGTATACATTATTTGTTGGGAAATTCAAAAAAATGCTGTGTCATTTTACAAAAATGTCATACTTTTTGAAATTTTTATAAAAATATCATTTTTTCAAAATTATTTTTTTTTATATTATTTATGTTTGGGTTAATTATGTTTTTATTAATATTTAGTTTTGAGTGTTTAGGGGATTTTAAGTGTCAAAACATTT